TCATATCCCCTTCGTGCATGCGTCAGCGTTGTATTCAGAAATTGATTTCTAGTCAACTTTCAAGCCACATTTTTACCATACCCTTTTTAGATCTTGATCATTTTTAACTATATATTTAATGTTGCATTCATTCATTAATGTGTCGTTTACAAAAAAATGTAAGAACACACACACCCAAATACACTTATTTTGTGTATATTATTTCATGTAATTGATTAATTATCTTTTTCTTGTCCAGATTGCCTGTTTTCTCCTTGTGTGAGGGAGCTATCTATCATCCGGTTTTGAATTCCTTTGCAGATGACAAAGAAAAGTTAAAATGTTTTAACTCTGGATAACAGTGCCATCTACTGTTACCGTTGCCCATATTCTCTGCCAGCCTCGCCTAATTTTACCATCCCTCTCTCATCTACTAAAAGGACATCCAGTTTGCTTTCTACTGTTTGCCGGAATCTATGTGAATGCAGCAGTAAGGAAGAATTTTGGTCATTGGATGTCTGGATCTTCTATTAGAGAAACGAGCTGAGGTAACATTAGCAACAGCTCAGATATCCTTTTGTCTACCTTTATTCAGTGTATTTACAGATTTCCATCAGCGAATCGGTCTGTTTTGGAGAGGAGGAGACCTCTGGATAATTTGGTTCCTGGTAGAAACCTCCTTAACGATGAACACTGAAGGTGTTATTGTTTTGAGGTGAGAGACCCCCTAGGGGCAGAAATTGCATATTGTACATTTCAGTCAAAAATCTTTTAATACAGCACAATACAATACAAAGCAGTCATAGATCTAGACAGAGGCAAATCATTCATCGTCTGTCTGTGAGATTGGTTTTAGTATCACCAGTATTTTTTCTTGACCAAGTGTGTATGTGTGTGTACCGAACTGTAGATGACACTGCAGCTTACAGTGGGCGGTATACTCTGTGGTTGGTAGGGTTTGGGGGTTGGGGGTGATTGCATGAACAGAACTTGGGGGGTGACACAAATGGCAGTCAGGTGAAGAGGTCAGCAACATAATTCTGAAATGTGCAGATAAATCAGAAGTGTCCAGGCCTAGTGGTCCAAGCAGCCACCTGATGTTTCCTCTCCAAACACTCGCTCCTCCCCCCAAGAGCTACTACACTGTAAAAAAAGTCTACCTCAACATGACGTTTAAGCCCGCATCGAGCTATTTTTGTTAAAGTAAGACTACTGTGTGTAACCTTTGAGACAAGAAGTAAGACTAAATGAAATCATAAGCAATAAAACACTCCCTTGCTCAAGACAATATACTCGGCCTGCTTGGTACTTCATGACCGATAGCTTGTGGTGGTTAATGTTAGCATTGTTGGGTCATATTACTTTGATATGTAGTCAGTTACTTAATACAAATTAATTTGTTTATTTTCGCATGGACAACAAACAATTAAAAGTAATTGCACCAGAGTTAGCTAACAGCTAATTTGCATCTGTTGTCCCTGGGCAGGTAAACAAAAAAACTACTACAGAACAGTAAATACACTGGACAGTACATAAAAGTCCATCAAGTCATGGCAGTTTTTGTAATTAGTAAAAAATTTGATCCTATCTAAATACTTTTGTATTACTTCAAAAGCATTGAAATGGACACATTTAAATATATTATGTAATGTTAAAGTGTGAGTTCCACAAATATTAGCCTTTTCTCTTTAAATCTTACTTTTAATGCAAAAGAGAAAAAAGAAAAAGCATATTCAGCTTTTATAATTCAAATAAAATAACACCGAATGACTTCTGAGATTATTTTATCAAATTGTCTCTGTGGAAAACCATTTCTGTTGTTAGCATGGTTGTGAGTTGTTTATTGGCAATCCTATGAGGCCTTGGGTTGAGGCCGTGTTCTTGACTTGTTGACCAATCAGAGGGACTGCTTCTGGGCTAATTATCTGATTTTGCTGTGTTACTGACATTATTGAATCACATGTTTTATCATTAAATATTATACTACAGTTGGTATTTATGGCCACAGTTGCTGCTATCTTGCTGAGTTTCACTTTGTGCTAAAATCTTTAATATATTGGTAGACCATCTTGCTCACTACTATTCATTCATTAATATGGACCAATGTACAACAAATTGTGGACTGGGTCTCAACCATAATGTTTTAGCCATGCTAGCAGGGATGGTAGTGTGTCTCTAGGGATGGCTAGTCTGTCTGTCAGTCCACCAATTGTACAGATATCCATGGTGGTCCCCAGAGGTTGAATTCTATTGACTTGTGATCCCTAGACTTTTCCTCCAGTGCCACCATGAGGTTGACATTTGTAGTAGTGTGCTAAATGTGCTGCATTGAGGGTTTATTCTTGTTGTTATTTCCTTGTGTCCCTATGTATCTTGTATCTATGTATGTTTGACTGAAAGCTACATACAGACTGTGGTGACAAATTCCCTGTGAATGACAATAAAGTATCTATCTATCTAGTTTGGAGTGAAATATCTCGACAGCTGTTGGATGGATTACTGCACAATTTGTTTCACACATACATAGTCTTTGTGAACCTTTCTGAGTAGGGTAATACTGGGTAATATTTCAGTAAGCTTGATCTATCTAAGAGTTTGGTTTGATGTACAATGAGGATTACAGACAGAGTTGCTAGCATGGTTTTAAAACTGGTAACTGTAACTTCTAAATTAACCAAAACTCAACACAATTAGTATTGTTATAGTCCTCACTTTTTGCAAGCTATACAAATCACAGAAATGTGATTGACTCTTTATAGCCATAGCTAACTTTCCCTTGAGGATGAGTATTGGCAGAGTTTCTCCAGTTA